GAAATTCAGACAAATTTTCATTTTATTCGGGCGTTTTTTATTGTCTGAAAAATGGCTGCAAATGGTGTGTGAAATTCAGACATTGGTTTTCACTGTGAAATTCGGTAGCAAAGGCCTGTCAATCTTTGACCTCAATTTCCCATTTTGTTAATAAAAAAAATCCATTTTGTGAATCTGACTGCAATTTGAAATTGAATTGGTCATGGAATTTGTTATTCATCTTGGAAATTTGATGAAATTCAATGTTTCATGTGGAGCGGTCGTTGATATTTCGATGGTAACTTGAATTTTAAAACTTAACGAATTTGAAAACTCAATCTTAAATTTGAACATTAAATTTACAAGAAAAAAATAGTGTAGAATCTAGGTGATTGCAGAATGAAATTGTGTTTCGGGAATCATTATTTGAAATAGTAAAAGATAAATTTTCGACTTCGTAACGTAATTTATTGTAAACGAACAGATAAATTTGTGAGTTGTTGTTAGCAAAGTCAGAAAACACTGCTCAGTAATTTTAATTCTTTTTGTCATGAATTTTCGTTGATTTTTCTTTTATAGATTGAGTGAATCTTCAATTATAACACAGAACTGATTCGTTAATAACAATATAGGTGGAAATTTCATGTCAATTAGAGGTTTTTGAAAATTTCGCAATTTTTCACGACCAAATAATTCCGTAGAAAAACTTGGAAAAAATAGAATTCTATTCAACTTCTGTTAAAGACTATGAGTTTTTCACCGATTCCACTGGAAAATTCAGCAGATGTTTCAGTAGAATCAGCCGTTCTATTGATAAAGAGTTTTATAGAAAAAAATCAATAGATTTATATTTTCCTACATAAATTTTCTAATTTTTTTTGACTGTAGTATTGTCTCTTTCATTGAAAAAAACCAAGGTAAAGAACTTGAAAAATTAAAGCCCATTCATTTCTGCACAAATAATTTCAATGAAATAATTTGTATAGAAAGATCAAATTGTTTTGAATTTTTCTATAAAATATTTCCAATTAAACATTTCCCGGTTTAAAACCGGGAGGAATTTCAAAAGAAATCAGCTAGAAACCCAACACAATTTTTTAATTAAATTTTTTCACGCACGATAAAATTTAATAGAAACACCTAGCGAATTCGCTAAATAATTCTATTGAATTTCTATTGAACTTTCAGTTAGGTTTTGATTCGATTCGATTTTTCTGCAAAACTTTACAGAAATTTTACAACTTTTCTTTATTAAATTCCTTTGTTCTTCTCATCAAAGAAATCAAACAAAAAAAACTTGGGAAATTGAGTCGAGGAAATTCTATAAAAAATATCTCAATAGAATAAGTTGTACACACCAATCGATTTCTATTGACTTCTATAGACTATTTCTATTGAACATTTTAATACAATCGATCAAAAATGACCAGAAAATTCAATGAAAATCCAATAGAATTGTCTGACGAATTCGCTAGGTTTTTCCATTAAATTTTTTCCTGCATGTTGGTACTCGTTTGTTTGAAAGTTCAAGATTAATCTCCCAGCAGTGCATGGGAAGAACTCATTTCGAGGATTAATGCTTCTCTGGTTCGTGAAAAGTGCCAGAGATTGGTATTTCGTCTTCACTTGGCAAAACATCGAATGTGCGAGTAGGAAGGACGAAGAAACGACAGATGCGGTTGCAACCAAATTTGGATCGTGGTAGATGCCTTGTACGTTGCCTTTAGAGTGGGGATTTAACCGAGTACTTCTTCTATTTTCGACCATCGGACACTCTATACTCTAGCCGGCAAAATATGCAGACTAAGCCCCTGTATGACCTACTCGCTCCGGCCCTCATCGTATTTCTCTCATTGTTCGATGTTCTAGGCTAAATGGAGAACTTGCCGAGAATTTTCCGTTAAATGGATATCAGCAGATTGTAGGGGTATTATTAGTTTTTTTGGCAGGGATCTCGCGGAAGCTCATACAACGCATATATTGTTCTAGAGATGAACAATAAAAACGTGCGATTTGAAAAGCTTGAAAACATAACTGACGTCAGTATAGGATGGAAACGTGGAGATGTGAGATTGTGACGTCATGACAGGGTCTCGGAGTTTGAAGAGATTCCAATTTTCGAGACTGACGTATGAATAATAGGCGCATAGTTGAATGAATGAAACCGGTAGTTTCAAGAAGATGATATTTTTAGTTTCAATTTTTCCTTCAGTGCACGATCGACGGCTCTTATTTGAGAACTTGACGAGATCGAATTCCGTTTTGCATTGCAGGAAATACGAGGTATTCTGTCGAACGTGTATGAAAAAATTTCACAGAGTAAAGCTCGCCTTAAAATCGTAACGCATTCGATAGAAAATTCGGTTTTTCTGCGAGTTTTGCTCAATTGAAAATATTTGTGGAGAAAAAGTCAAGATTTAGATTTTTTATACAACTGATTCTATTAAAATTATTGCTATGGAAATTCCAGAACTAAATTTTTCAAGTTTTTTCGCTTGAATTTTTCAATGAAAGAAGCAAAGAAATTTAGTGAAAAAAAATTAGAAAGTTTACGTCGAGCAGGTTTTATAGAGAGATAGAGAGAGATCAAAATCTATGGTTTTTCTGTGCAAAATATATTCCATTATATATGTTCTATAAATCCGCCGTAAAGCGGTGAAATTGCAGAAAATACGAGGTATTTTGTCACACATGCATGAAATAATTTCATAGAAAATCGTAACGCATTTGATAGAAAATTTGGTTTTTCTGTGAGTTTCGCTCAATAAAAAATATTTGTGTAGAAAAAGTCAAAAGATTTTGATTTTTCTGTGCAACCTATTTTATTAAAGTTACTATTATGAAAATTCCAGGATTTTTACAGTCGTTTCGCTTGAAGTTTTCAATGAGAAAAACAAAAAAAATCTAGTGAACAATAGTACATTAGAGTACAAGGGCACAATAGTACATTAGAGTACAAGGGCACAAATTTCGTTTTCAACGAATGTGTAGTTTACAAGCCGAGCCGAAGGCGAGGTCTGTACACACATTCGTTGAAAACGAAATTTATTACCGAGTGCTCTATAATATTTTATGTCAAGTCGTGCAGAAGTCGAGTTTTGAGCAGGCTGCGCGAAGCGCAGCGTGCGATAAACTCGACTTATTGTATGGCGCGACATAAAATTTTTTACGTCGAGGAATTTCAATGAAAAACATTCCAATAAAATAAATTGCATAGAGATAAAAAAATTTTTTTTTGTGTAAAAAATATTCCACCATACGTTTTTTATAAATCCGCAGAAAAGCGGTGAAATTATTCAATAGAATCGACGGATAATTAATGGAATTTTCGATAAAAATCGAATACAATTTTCTCGTGGAGTTCCTATGTTTGTCTATGAAATTAATTAGTGCGTGGAGTGTAGGAACACACCCGAATGAATTTTCGCCAAAGAATTTGCATCAGCTTTAGCGGTCCAATTGGGTTGTTGCATGATTTTTTTTTTGACTAAACTGATGAGACATGATAATTTAATGAAATGCCAAGAAGTCACAGCCAATTTAATACATTGAACAGCGTAAGTCAAGAAACGGATTGGTACCGGTGTGAGAAGAGTAGGGAGCCCCTCGATGTATTAGAGCGCCATAAGTAAGGCCTAGCTGCACACGCACACTACCTCAAAATGTTGAAGAGTGGGGTACTGAGTCTGTCCATCAGATGTGGACGTTTCTGGCGTGCAGAAAATCGGATAAATAATATTTCGGAATAAAAATTATTTGGAATTGATTAATTATGAATAATAAGTGCAAAGAAACCCAAACGATGAAATTTCAATACAACCGTGAATTTTTCCTCATTTCATGATTTTTTTTCAAAGAATGCAGCGGAGTGTGGGAACCCTTGATATTTTCCCTCACTCCATAGCCCCAAAATTTCCCCGCGGAAGTTCCTTAAGGGGCGACGGAACCCCTTTGTCTACATCAAATGTTAGAATTGTGTTTTCTCCTACAATTATTAATTTCTATCTATGATATTACTTTATCGAGTGGATTATCGCATTATTGAGTTAATGAAGTAGTTTAATGAATAAAAAATAATTGCAGGAGAAAACACAATTCTAAAGATTCATATAAACCCAGGGGTTCCGTTTCCCCTTAAGGTGTTTCGCCTGTAGATCACAGAGGGGCGAAACCGAAGGGGAGTCTTATTGTTCTTGAGCCCTGATTCAATCGCTGAGCACAAAATTTTCTAATTTTCAAGTAACTATTTAAGTGTGCATTTGAACATTTTTTGAATATAGATTTTATTCATCAGATTGGTTGATTTTTTTCTCATCACCTACGGGTGTCAAATTATTTTTATTGGATGTTATTCTAATTATTGAAATAACATTAAAATGCGTCTCGAGTTGGTAAACCTGTCGAGTGTTTTCTCTCTCTCAGTTCCATGGTCCAACTGCGCGGGAGGGCGTAATCGCCCCAAAACTCATAATTTTCCGAATCATTTGTTCAAATAAGTTTCTTATAAAATCTGAAAAAAATCTGAAACTTATGCGTGTTCTCAAGAAAGATTTGATTCATCACCCGTTAGTTTTTCCTCAATAGTTCAAAAACATTCAAATTTCATAATTTTTATACTTGAGACTGATTTCTGAAAAAAATGTGCAAGAATTCTCAATGATGCAGCGTACTCAAAATTTTCTCTCGTGAATTTTTTTTCATTATTTTGACTTTTCAGAAGAAACACCTTAAGTCTCAAATTGGGACTACCGAAAGTCTTAATTTAAAATCCTTGAAAACTCAAAATAAAAATGTTGTTTCTACGTGTAAGTTACCAATTTCTCGCTGTGAATCAAAATTAAAAATCTGTGCCCAATAATTTCGTTTGAACTGGCATAAAAAGCACTAAAAAATGTGGCGAAAACTCAACTCGACGCTGGATTCACTGAACAATCTCCAGATCAAATCTAGAGGCATCCAGCGAAAATGTCACGGTAGTATTCATGAAAAACCAGTTGATTAAATACCGACATTATTTCCAGGACCGTTGAGCCCCCCCCAACTCCACCATGGCCGATGCCGGAGCTGCTGATGAGGTTTGGTACGTACTCAACGCAAATGAAATACCCCCTAAAAAGTCCATTTCCATTTTATTGAGAATTTTAATGAGCACGCTTTATTTATTTTTATGGAAACCATCCACCTCTCCTGGAAACTCAATGGAAACGACAACACCGCAAAACCAATATTTTCCATTTCATCACGCAGTATAAATATTTTTCCTGAAGGTACGTTTGGACATTGATTTCCATATTAATTGGGTTTTATTATTTTGTTTATTCCTGTTGAACTTGTGTAGTTGTACACAAACACATGAATTTTCATGGTCCCTTCGAACATGACGTGCCATCACTATTTTAGAACCCAATGAATCCCGTTGAAACAAAAACGGCCTGTACATACTCCTGTAGTTGTAGCGAATGCATCAAATGATACTGAAAAATATACACAGAATGTACAAGAAAATAAACACTGATGATATGAATCTGGGGTAAGACAGAACCTCGTTGCCGTCGTTGTGTTGTTTAATTGCTCTGATACTTATCCTCTGAGGCATGCAACAGCTTACTCTTAAGTAGATTGTAGATTCCGTTTCCTTAATTGCACCCTTACCATCTTTTTGGGAAAACTCTCAACATGGCTGACTTTACTTTTTAAATTGCAATGTAATTCCGCCGGGGCCATTTGTTTTTCATTAACAAAAAAGCGTCTATGTGAAGATATAACCCTGGAGAGAAAACAACAAGTTTCTAGTTTCCAGCAAAAATATCTAAATTTTAGGAATTTGTGGTATATAATGACATTTGGCGAGTAAAAAATACTGAAAATAAATGGAATTTTCACTTTTTTGAGAACATTTCTACTAAACAATCTAATTTCGGCAGCGAACAAAGTTATAATTCTCAGTTATTTTTAATGCAATTTAGGTAGGACAGGTGAGGTAATATGGACTTTCTTAAATTATCAATATCTCCTGACTAGGGATGGGCGATGTTTTAAAAAACATCGACAATCGAAGAATTGATGTTTTTCAAAAATATCGATGTTGTGAATCGATTTATCAGGAAAAAACATCGATTATTTAAAAAATCAATGTTTTTCTCATTACACAAGAGAAAAAACAATTTTTTTTAAATAATTTTTTCTCCTCTTGAGGATCTTACGTTTCATTGATAAGTACTGCTGGAGAATTAAATTTTGAATCTCGAAAAAAAATAAGACAGTGAACGCAAATAATCATTCAATGTGTAGAAATTTTTCTGTAACTGTAATCGATCTTCTTCCCCGGACACTGTGCAGTAAATTCTCATTCTCGTTCATTCCCTTGTCGTTCGCATCGTTGCCAAGAAAAAAAATACTGTGCAGGTGCGGGATATTTGACTGTGCAGGTAACCGTAATTCTTGCTTCTACACATGTCTTTCTTTTTACTGAATGAATCGTGAGATATGCTTCTCCTGAAGTATTTTTTCATTGAATCACATTTCGCTTCACGATTACCTTTCCGACAGAAAATTTGTCCGAGATTCTCTTGATACTTTTTCCTCAACTTTTCCCGCCATGTAAGAGCCAATGGAAGTTACCATCGGAGTAGAAACTGGATTTCATTTTTTTTCGTCGTCGACCTTTCTCACTCGCAATAAGGAAGTTTTTGATACACTGAAAACAAAGTTCTCTGAGAAGGATATCTTTACTTCTATCAAGGAATTCATAGCTCGAAAATTTTCAGGAGGAAAATATCTTACACTGAGAAAGAAAAACTTCTGCTAGAGATTTTGTACTTGTCTGCAGAATAAGGGCAATTGGATCATAACAAAAAAGCGACTTTCAAACTAAGTCGAGTAGTTTTTACATTAAAATATGTCGGATTTGAGATTAAAAAACTACTGGATAATTTTATTCAAGTAGATTTGGTTTTAAAATATCACTTTCTTATCATAAACAAATCATTGTCTTCTTTAGGACATGTACAACATCTCCTAACGAAACACTCACGCAAAAATTTGAAAGAAAAACCACCGAATTCGCTAGACCATTCTATTGGATTTCGTTTGAACTTTCTATTTATTTGTGGGAGATTCTATTGAAATGTTCAGTAAAAAATATTCCGTTGAAAAAGTTAATAGAATTAGATTTTGCTACATAATTTATTCTATTGAGATATTTTCTATAGAATTTCCTCGGCTCGAATTCTCCAAGTTTTTTTCATTCTACTATTTTTCCTTTTTTTTTTATCAAAGAATAGAACAGTTTGTTTTAAATATGACATGGTAAAGTTGCATAATCTTCAACAGAAATAACACAAAAAAAAACAATAGAATTATTTTATGGAATGTTCATAGAACTCCAATAGACTTATAGAGTTTCAATAGAAATTCAGTAGATTTTTTAAATGAAAGTACTAGATTTTTCTTGTCATTTTTTTCACTTGACAAAATGTACGAAGTATTTTTTAAAAATTTTTTTCTCTGTTCTGTATTAGATTTTTCGACAGGGGCGGGAGGGGGGGCGTTGCCCCCCAACCCTCTTGCCGGGGGGCATCGCCCCCTGGACCCTGCTTCTGCACTCCCACCCAACCCCTCTTGATGAAACTTCGTGATAAAAAATAGATTATGTCATTCGGTCGATAGCCTCGGATTGCGAGTCGTGTTGCAAACTTCAGACGTCTCACAAACCTCGGCCTATTGGCCTTATGACATAATCTACTATTTTTTGACTCTACACTATTAAAAATTTCTTGAAATTTTAGTAACAGTCTCATCTAAATTCTCGATGTTGTGAGTTTGAATTTAATTTCAAATGAAAATATTCATAAAATTTCTTCTTCATCTTGAAAATTCAAGAAAACTGGGTTTTTCGTGTTCAATCATTAATTTTCCAATGAAAATGTTTGAATTTCCAAACTTATTCTGTAAATTGAAAATTACATACAATTCAATTTTTAATATATTGAGAATTCAGAAAAGTTGTGTGTGAATTTTCAAAATTTTCAATGTTTTTCAGTGCCGTATGGACCTGGAAATTATGCAGTACTTGAATATTTAAGAAATTAACTGATTCGTCAATGAGGAAATGAAGAAACATACAGAAATTTCATGTAACTTTGTCGTTGTTAAAAATTTCAAGCGTTTTCACTTGCAATGTCAAGAGTAATTTTCCAATAGCGTACTGAATTTCTAGGATTTTTCTTCTGAAATGAAGGAACCATTTTCTTATCCTCAATAAAATACCGTCAAGAACTATGAGTCTCCAAAAATCAGTAACTTGGCCCTGGAAACTAGAAACTTTTTTTCTCTGTGTTGTTTTCGCCCGAGGTGAAGAATATTTCGCTAATAATTTCCTCTACTTTCTTTCCAGAGAAAACCTCTTGAAGATGTACGTGAGGAGCTATCTCCCAGGAAATCCGTTCAGTATTCATCCGAAGAGAAGATGCATGTGGGGAAAAAAATTGAAATAGGCCCGCAGTTAATTTTTCTTTGTTTTGAAACTTCACGACTTTACATCTTCATCAATTCTCTCTTTTCTTCTCAATATGAAAGATTCTTTTCTAATGGGGAGTCTAGAGAAGAAGAGGGGAATAAAAAATGTTAGAGTTGGCTTTTGTCCGCCTTTGGCGGGCGGAAGGAGAGCCAGGGAGACACTTTAAAACGCTTTTTAACACTGGAAATGTAGGAAAAGAAGAGGAAACAGGCGGAGACGGAGAGAAAGCGGGCGGAGGTCCGTGCCCGCCTTGAGGAGGCATCCAAGGCTAAAAAAGCCAAGAAGGGTTTCATGACTCCAGATAGAAAGAAGAAGCTCAGAGTATGTATATTTTATGAATGCCAGGTCATTTAATCCCGTAAAATAGATTTCGAAAAATGAATTCTTTTCAAAAAATCCCATAAAAGGTCCTAACAAATTTAATCCGGCAATAAAATGATTGTCATAGGATTCCAATATCTTGAATTCAACTTCTCCTAAAATTGCAAAGACGAACAACTCAAAGAGAAAACAAAATTTCCTCATCCGAGTGAATTACAGCACGTAATAATGAATTACAAATTTCTTCTATCAAAAATAATTGGCACCCTTAAGGATGTCTAACTAATCAAGTGGACAACTCAGTTGAAAATAAAAATAATATTGACTATATAAGTCATTCATGTTACAAATTATTTTTCTCATCAAATTAGAAGTGTTATTACGTACTTTTCCGGTCTCAAAAACAATCATAAAAGAAAATGTTCATAAATAATGGAGGACTTGTGACTGCAGTGGTAACAGTCGATTTTTGATCGGGCAACATCGCACGCTTCGGCTAGTAGTGGGGTTGTAACAGTGAGATGAATGTTTGTGTGGGTTATCCGTGTCCATATGCTTCCAGCACTGAATTATCGTCACCGACTTTACCGACCTCGATCAGTTGTTGTGCGGTGTTGTCGCGTTGCTCGACTCGTAATGGCGGTCAAATTTTTTTAGAGGAATTCGAAAATCAATCGAAGATATCACGCCTATATGGCCCGGTCCCCTACTTGTTCTCGCCGGCGATAGATTCTCCATAGTCTAAAGTAAATGACTTGTCGATTTTTTCAATATCTTGAGTGTCTAAACCATGCAACATCTCGATGAAAGTTCACACGGTCACGTTTCTTCCCTAATCGTAATGTTACAAGAAGTGATTTTCAGACATTAATAGGATGCTAGGATGCCCCGATGGAAGGATTAAGATTATTACTGACGTGTGGTTCAAATATGAACCTGGCATATGCGACAGTATCAAAATTATAGTGAATAATGTGGGCTTTGGCTAAACATCCTTAAAAGAACATATTCCACAAGACCGTAGGGGTGAGTGGGGCAAAATGGACACTTCACTTTTCTTGAAATATCAACAGTTCATTAAATTGTTAATGAAACGGTATAATTTTTGTTTCTATGAAAATTAAACTTAGTCTTCGTTGAGATTCAATTGACGAATTTGTTTCTGAGCTGTGAACATTGAAAAAAAAGTAAATGTTCGTTTTGCCCCATCATCTCCTACCGTATCAGGATCAATCTGGGTATTAATCTGCATATTATTATGCCGCATTATTTACTCTAGGATCTGTTTTACCCGGATTAAATGGCCTACTAATACTGTCGCAATTGAAACTTGTGAAATTAATGATCGAGTGAATGCTGTTACAGTTGTTGTTGCGTAAAAAAGCGGCTGAGGAACTCAAGAAGGAGCAGGAAAGAAAAGCAGCTGAGAGGAGACGTATCATTGAGGAGCGTTGTGGCAAGCCCAAGGACACTGACGATGTCAGCGAAGGTATTGACATTATTAATCACATCACTTCCTTCCGTGCACTTCACTCTGACCATTCATCGTTTAATTCCTCCCAATACACCACGAGGATCACCTCGAGGTCCTCCGACAGGTCTTCAGTTTTATTCATTTTTTTTCATCTCTTCAATCAGATACATTCAGTTACACAATTAAAATTTCATTGTATTGATATGCAGAAGCCGTCAAACGTATCCTACGCGAGTACCACAGTAAGATCGAAATGTTGGAGGGACAAAAATTCGATATCGAGTATCTTGTTAAGAGAAAGGACTATGAGGTACTTCGTTTGTTCAGAGAACATGATTGTACACCAGCATCACGCTGAAATATCGCACGTGGTCAATGTTATCAATGTTGCACGATTATGGATATCGCGAGGCTTCACAACATGCTCTTTTATTTAACACTCCGTTGGTCGCGTCGTAAGCGCCGCGCCGCACCAGCATAAATCTACATAATGATAAATTTGAACACTGATAGAACGGATTAGTTATTGTCAACAAATGGATTTTGGTTGGAGGTTAGGGTCTATTCGGTCCCACCAAATGTTCATTCGTTAATAGTTAACGAATGTATATTTGAGGAGCCTTGTTTGACTTGACTTTCGCCATTCAAGTGAATCATTCGTTAACTATTAACGAATATTCATTTGGACATATTCAACTCTACCATTCGTTAATAGTTAACGAATCTCGTTTGGAATAAATGAATCATTTTATCAGTGAAGGATCTAGGAAAAACGTGAGAAAAATCAAGACTGATCTAGATCGTATGCTTGCAAAAGTCCCGTGAGATTTTATATCAGTAGCGAAGTGATAAAACGGTTTAACCCATTGCCGTGAATCACGGTTCCCCACTTTCAACTATTTTGTAGTAGTGTACGTTCGCCGCCATGGTTTTCTTATGGCGCACTAACACACTGGCGACCCCCCCACTTCCTTCACATCGAGACGATTCGTGACTCTTCGCCGGCAATGGGTTAAGTCGACTTATCTCCCAGTTGAGTTTTTGAGAAATATTTCGTACTTTAAGGGAGGTAGCAAAATTTTCGTAATTACATTTGTTGTAGCTCTCAATCGGCTCTACAAAAAAGGTTGTAACAAAAATTTTGCCATCTCCCGTAGATTCCCAGATATTCTTTGAAAACTGGCCAATAGTAAAAATTGACTTGTACTGTTTTACCACTTCGCTACTGATATGTTCAGTGTTGCCCTTAATTATATATTCAAGCTGAAAGTTGCCATGTTTTTCTGAAAATTCGCCTTATAATCCACATAGGAAAAATATATGTACAGAAATATATGTCGCTTACATCCGCTCATATGTGGTATATTTACTTTTCAGCAAAAAATGCAATATCTAAGATATATATTGGATATGTGTGTACATATATCCCGTCGGCTTCTGGTATAGAAGGCGGATATATTCAAGATGTAATTCCGACGAAATCACTATATCTCACTTATAAGTTTTGGCTTATATTTTTTTCTATGCGGGCTACGGTACACAGCCCGGAGTTTTGAAGTGAAAATTTGAAAAATTAACTACTTCTGATATTTTTGGCGGATATATTTTTATTCATAGGGCTTCTAGACACTTCAAAATAATATGTCAAATTTTCTCAAATTTTTCTGAGGCTTTCCTCCAGTGTGATTTAACAAATCGGAAAAAGTGCGGCGCGGCGCTCATAGCGCGACCAAAGGAGTGTTAATCGTTTGGTTCAGTGGTGATGAGGGAAAACAGGATGAGTCAATTGCAGTTCAAAATCAGTTTTGGAAGGGGTTCTGGAGTTTAGGGTCAGGTTGAAATTTTTCCGGAAAAATTTTACGGGGGAAATCGCTCTTTTATTACTCTTATTAACCCTAGTTTGGTCCCCTCGTTGAAACCCCTTGTAGAAAATTGATAATTTTTGTTTTTGCTTCCGAATGGAAGCAAAAATATTAATTTTCTGTCAGCGGTCCGTTTTGCCCTGCGGTCCGTTCTGCCCTACCCTCTCCTATAATTTTCTAGAATGCTATAGAATTCCGATAGATGGCGCCACTGCCGATAAGGAACCATAAGGACCTTTTCCCTAAATGCCGCCCCATAATGAAAACATCGACGTATTCACATAAAAAAAAAAAAAATTCACGGATTCATTGAAAGTCAATTGTTTTTGTAACTGACAAAATTTTCAGCGATATTTACAATTCAACAAAGATTCCATCTTTGATTTAATTTATTCTATCATTTTCCTACTGAATTATGAAATTAGAAAAATCCAAATTGATCAATTTCATTCCTCAATCATTGGAATCAATATTCATCAATTCGATATTGAAGATTGCCGGGTAGCTTAGCGCAGTGGGTAATTTCGTTCCCTCACATGCGAAAGGTTCCGAGTTCAAATCCCGGCCGGGTAGAATATGGTGCAATCTAACCATTTAAAGTCTTAATCATCATCGCAGTATACCCTAACCGGGTCGAAGCGATGTAAAATAACGATAAAAAAAAAGATATTGAAGATAAAATCATTTAACATATAATCAGCATCTAACGAAGATTTCAAATTCACTTTTATTCATTCTACTATTGTACTATCAAATCATTCAATTAGAAGCATTCATATTGGGAACTGTGGGGGGCGTGGTCAATGCCTTGGCCGCCTTGCGGCCGAAATTCGAACTAGCGTGAGCAGGTAATCGTCAGTACGTTCGTATAATCTCTCTTGTAAACAATTGGAGTAAATCAATTGGAGTAATTAAAAAATTAAAATCGTATGAAAATTACAGCACAAGGAACATTTGGAACGTAAAAAATAGGAAGAAATGAAGTTTTTCGTGGCTATACGGAGCAAAATCGATCGGGTCCGCGATTTACCCTAGTTATTCTCATATTCTTTCATATATCACAAACTGTTTAATGAGTCCCAAGGCCCAGTGAAGGCTTTTAAATTTCACCGACGTATCCCTTTGAAGACACATTGTCTGAAAATACCACTGTGAGAGGAATGTTCCAAAGGGAAGTTTTTCCAGAGAGAATACTTTTGAAAGGAATCTCTTGAAATCGAAGTACTTACGGGGAAAATGTATCCGGAATAAAAAAAAATTTAAGAACCCTTTGGAAAGTGTCTGGAAAATTTTTGTCGCATTTTTTTTCGTAGAGCAATCTGAGAGTACAAAAAAAGTTTCTGTAAAAACTTCGCTATTCATCGGAAACTGATCGTAAAGCTGGGTCGACTTCTCCTGATTCACCACTTGACTACTGAACATCAATGTTTACAAATCGTTCGCAATACTTTAATTGAGGAATGTTTGCCACACGGAGAGAAATATTCAAGAAAAATTACGGAACATTTCACGTAATCCGCAAGCGAGAATCGTTTTCAGTGAATTTCTATAGGAATATAAGAGAATAAATCTGAAACGTTCAGTAAATTTTCGCATCTGTCACCGAAAAAATACGAAAAAGTCACGTAATTTTTCTGAAAGTTGTAAAATCTAACAGAAACTTCAAGACTTATTATGCCTCAGAACATGAAAATTCTTGGATGTTTAAGAATTTTTACGAAAAGTTCCGGAAAAATTACGGAACGTGTTGTTAAAATCTCCCCCCTCGGTAACTCATGGCTAGCCGTGAGGCGTCGGACGGATGAGTAATTTTTACGGAACAGATCATAGAATTTACGTGACGATTGACACTTTTTATTGAATTTTACTTCGCTCCCAGATTACGTTTCGAAACGTAATTTTTACGTCTTTTTTCTAGTACTTTTTATTGAATATTTCTCTCCGTGCAATGATTTCGGCTAGACTTTTGTGTCTCTGGCCACCGTGTCTGCAAATTTATATGGCTGATGCGAGCATTGTTTTCGCTATATCATTGTCTTGTTCATCAATGCTCGTGAAATCATTCGCATTTTTTCCGTCATCATTCATCCGGTACGGCTTCGGGGAATGCTACTCATCTGCACTGTGTTAATTCGATATTTATTTTTATTTTTAATCAAAAATACAGATTTAACACAAAGACTTGTCCATATTTTTCGCATCCTTTTAGTTAAGTCCAAGTTCATATCTCTGATGCTAGGCGATTTCATCAAGAAATATTTTCTATAACTGAAAAAATTGATCACATTTTCTGTTTTTATAAAAGTTATAATATAATTATTATTCACCAAAGAATACATATTACATTTAATTCATTAGGTCATACAATCAGGGAACAATGGAATGAGTTAATCTTACTCGTTTATCAAACGAATATTTCATTCTTCAGTGAAACAACTCATGGACTACGACAACGCTAACATTCACCTTAACAACAATTATTTCTTGTCAATTACAAGTGGAATTATTTGGACAATTCAGATGTCCAGATCTCAATAAATTCTTTGACATTACCCAATACTCAGTACACTTTTCCTGAACCTTATCAGAGCAATTGGAATCAAACTGATAATAAATCTGATATTCTTTTCCATTCTTATGGAAAAACTGCAGATTAAACATAATGGAATCAGATGAAATTTGTATAACTGATGGGAGACGAATTCATTGAGGGTCAATTTTTTTTGTAACTGACAAAATTTTCAGCGATATTTACTATTCAACAAAGATTTCATCATTGATTTAATTTATTCTATCGTTTTCCTACCGAACTATTAAATTAGAATAAAAAATTGATCAATTTCTTTCGTCAATTATTGAAATCAATATTCATCAATTCAATATTGAAGATAGAGGAATTTAAAACATAATCACTATTTAACGAAGATTTCAAATTCACTTTTATTCATTCCACCATTGTACTATCAAATCATTCAATTAGAAGCATACGTATTGGGAACTCTGAGGGGCGTGGCCAATGCTTTGGCCGCTTTGCGGCCGAAATTCGAACTAGCGTGAGCAGGTAATCGTCGGTACGTTCGTATAATCTCCCTTGTAAACAATTACAGTAATTAAAAATTGTAAGGTTTTCGTTGGGATTTCACGGATAGTTTGATCATGAAAGTGCTCATGCAAGAATTGTGTCGATTTGCTGTCTCTTTGGCAAATTACAAGACGGGACACTTATCAGCTTTAAGTGAATAGCTTTACGATTTTCACCTATGAATGAAATGAATAAAGTCAATTTATTTCATGAAAGATCCCAGAAAAATCAACTGGCAATAGAAAATTGAACAATTTCATTAGATTCTCAGCTGAACTTACATTGAGTGAAGAAGTCATCTTTGGTAAAATGTAACGAACACACTTTCATTGATTTTGTCACTGGCTTTCCGATTCTCAAGATTTTTTCCAAGCAATTAAACGATTAACTGTGTCCTCTTCGCCGAATTTCGTCTTCAATTTTACGAAACTCTTGTTTTTTTAAAGGAAATTGGAAGAGTCTCACTGAAGGATTACGATAGGCTGAACTATTACAGCCAGGCACACTGCAAAATTCTTTGTTTTTTGTTACTCTGACGTCAAACTCCATTTTTTTATTGAAAAATAATATTCTCTCGGCTTGTAGGATGACTTGGGACTGTCCTGATATGCACAAACAATATAAATCACGAGAAATTTAGTAATAACTAGTAGAAAACAACTCTTTTGTATACACAAACCCATTCAGCGGCTCCAAGTTGCCTGCTCGCACTAGTACGCGCTACGGCCGGTAGAGCGCGTCATTCAGTGCTAGAGTTCCGCATTGATCAATTTTACGTGTCTATTCAATCAATGACTCTAACTCTCATCTCCACATCAATAATTTCATCTCAATTAATAATAACACCCTTCGAACAATTTCTAGAGCTTTCCAAAAAAATGCTTTCCAAACAAAAAGAAATCTCTCTACATCACCCAATACTCAAAACATTTTTCCTAAACCTTATCAGGGCAATTAAAATCAATCCTGATCCAGTATCACAAGAAGATAGCAAAGCTTGAGGAGGAGAGATACGATCTTGAGTTTGATGTCTCCAGCAAGGAATACGAGGTTCATTAAATGATCACTACCAGCCCGTATAATTACACTCTAACTCTGACACTCTAGAACTTGTATTTTACTTAAACATAAATATAACTCACAGCTGTACTCCACGTATCGCGCTAAAACCGTAAGCTAAAGCAAGCGAGTTCATCAAGAAAAAAACATCAAGTGATTAAATTAACACGAATACGTAGTTAGCAAAATGGATAATTCCTGGAACTGGCATCAGAATAGTTGCTATTGATTTCGCTAGGCTGTGAGTGGAGCGCCCAGATGAAATTCAAGGCAAACTAAATGAGAAAACAGTACCAGTATCAGTAGATTAGTGAATCACACCGAAAAAATACATTATTTCAAGATTTTAAATGTCTTAAAAGAAGATTTTCGAAAGTCTTCATTTGAAGTCTGAATATCTTGAGTCGAGACTTTAAAAGTCTTAATTTGAGAGTTGGAGATCTCAATTTAAAGTAGTATATACGTAACTTAAATTTTGAAGATGAAAATCTGAAATAAATTCTAAACCGAAGTTGATGTGAATAAAAACATTCTCGTCGAGTTTGTGTTCAACAGTCAGTTTAGTATAATTGATAATGTATAATTCAGAAGTGGCAAAATAACATAGAGTGTCATGAGAAAAGTTTTTTCGACCTTACGACGAAAATAGCAATTTCGAGATTAGAGAGAAGATTAAAATGTAGAAAAACTAAAAAATTAGAAACATATGAATAAAAATTTTGTGCCTAATATGAAAATTATTGTCACTGTCAGACTTTTGTGAGAAATAATTTATGTTTCTGGGTACCCCGAATGTACAGGATGCCCTAGTCAAACGAACAGCTATTGTTTGAGAAAGTAATTGTAGAGAGAATATAATGGATTAATTTCGTAAGACATTATCAATGATGAATAATTTTGTTCGGGCATTTTAAATTCATTTTTCCTTACTCAACTCAACGACTTACGTGGAGTTTGGACATACTACTTTAAGCCTTTTGAAAGGCTCAAGTTGCGACTTTCGAAGGTTTTAATTTGAGACTTTCATAGACTCAAATGGCTTTTGAATGCCTTAAATTAAGTTACTTTCCGAACTAAACTGGAAATTTTCCTTCAAGTTGAGTTCTGAAAGTCTCAACTTGTGACCTTTGAAAGTCTCAAATTGAGACTTTTGAAAGTTTTAATTCGAGACATTCGGAAATCTCAACTAGAGATAATAAGTCTCAAAATAAAGAATATTTTTTGGGTGCATACTGGAGACAGAGAATATCCATTTGCTCCAGTGAATTGTTATTTTTCTAGCCGAGCTCCAGACAATCTGCACAGCCTATTGGCACAGATTGTACGCACTCGAGGGTGATAAATATGACCTCGAGAGGAAAAGTAGATTGAAAGATTTCGAGGTAACTACGAAAGCCGCCGAAACTGCTATTTTAGATTACTGTACAATTTTTCTTTGACTTTAAAAAATTTCACAAAAAAAAAAACAAACGGTTACTCACAAATATACGAAGTGGCACAGCCTGAGAGTCGCGCTGATACATCAGAAAGTTTTCACAAAAACTATTTTCTGTATAGAGAAAACTTTTCACCACTTTGTTTTTATCACACATATATTTTACGACGCAGCTTTTCCCACAGCCATTATTTCTCACACTCTTGACGCACATAAGATGATTTCTAGCGTTTTATAGGTGAACTTTTAGTACTAGTGGTGAAATGATAATTCGATTCCATCGAAGATTACACGAAACATAAAGCAAAGTGTATTGCAGAATGCATTACCCAGCTAGGAATTGACGATGGAAACAAGGCTCATCAATTCCTCATTCAATGCTTAAAAATTCTCAATCAGGGCTGGAGCCTAAGCTGGAATCAGCCCTCATTCAGTCCCAAAATGATAACCTGAATGGTAGCTTAATTTCGAAGGCTCGAACAAGGCTTGACGCCAAGACCCAATCCAAGCCTTGACTTAATAAATCTTAAAGGCTCAACCGTGCTTCTTGCTAACTAATTATATAATTATTTATAGTAATTTGTATGAATGAGTTCTGATTCTCTTATCAGCCTGTCTGTCGATTTCAAGAACTCCATAAAAAAGACTGGGGTAAGACCGTTTGTAACGGTCGATAACCCGAGGAGCGTTAATTGTGATGGTTGATTAATTAACAATGGATTTTTAAAAAATTGTCATTATTTTTTATCAATTATTTGTACTGAATCATCATCCGCACATCTGTAATTGAAATACAAAGAAATTGAACATTCGAAAAATTGCTCCTACTCGGAAGTATTCGATCAGGGGTCCTTCTGATCCATTTTTTTTATAGAATGTTTATTTATTGATCACAAGATAAAGTACATTTTTGTCGCAGATGCAACTTTTTTCCGCGTAAACAAACAAAACGGAAATATAATAATAATGCTTAAAATTAAAGTTAGTTTCTATATAAATGGATTTGCACTATTTGTAGGAAGTAATTTAAATGTTGTGACTAGCACTAAATGATTAAATAATATTGCAAGGATATTTTTAAGGACTTTGTGGTCGGGTATCTTTCTTATACGCCAGAAATTGATCAGTTAAAGTTGACGATTACGTTGCTTGTTGCCCTTGAAACTATAATTAAATACTCAACTGCTAGTTATTTGCAACTATGTACAAGAGTATAAGGTGTTAGACACTTTAGCCTTTATCAAGCCACCAGTATTTTTTGGTATTATCTCTCAGAAGTCCTGCGCGTTTCCACTAGGTAATCTGAAACTTCTTGCGACGAAATATTTTTGTCGAGTATAAAAATACAACGTGGTGTTCTTTTGTTTATCCATGAATAAAACTATTACGAATTGAATAAAAAAATAGATCCGATGTGTTAGTGAGTTCAAAATCCGTTAGTCAATTAATTACAGATGAGGATAATTATAATTATGCAAGCTCGTGCTCAAAGTGCTACCGCAAGTCTGGGCTTAGCTTGGATGATGTGGCGGATAGTTGATCTTTGTGGCAGGGATAACAACGTTTTCACCATCATTAATTGATGGCCATTATTCCAAAAATTACGGAAATGAATTAAAAGTAAACTTTATTCTTGAGGGCTGGTTAAGGATGTACGACACCCTTTCGGCCAAAATTCAAGTTTTTTTCATTTTTCTGGCAAATTATTGATCGGATAGACGCGAAAAATATACCGTTTTTGCGTTTTATCATTATTGACTGACTTACGAAGTTTCATGGTAGCGCAAGCATTTTCCTGCATTTTTTTCTAAAGTTTTGTGAATTTCCGAAGTTTTAGAAAAAACGCAGGAAAATGATTGCATGATCATGAAATTTCGTGAGTCATTAAGTAATGATAAAACGCAAAAACGGTATAGTTTTTCACGTCAATCCGATTAAAATTTACCAGAAAAATTAAAAAAACGTGAATTTTGGCGAAAAGGGTGTAATACATCATCCTTAAGCTCCGGATGAGCCTTGACGTACTCAGTCTTAATACTCAAGGCCTGGACTAGGCCTGAATTGAGCCTCGTAGATGTCCTTGTGAATCACCCTCATTTCAGCCTAATATCGACAATCAGAACAGGGCGGACTGAGGCCTCAGCCTCGCCAACCTAGGGTTAATACAAACTTGTTTCCATCGTCAGTCTAGGTAATTCTTACCTGGGTTATCCATGTCGTTCAATGAAAAATTGGTTTTGCATTTTTTCATAATTTTGTTGTAAATCATCATGGAAAAATCTTTGATCGTTAATGGTCTTCTTGTAGAGGACTTGAAGGAGATTTGCCAAGAGTATTACGCACGCGTCTACGCGTGTGAGGGTCAGAAGTGGGATTTGGAGCGTGAAGTACGGAAAAGGGACTATGAGGTACAATATGAACCCACAATGGAACACCCCAAACACCTGAGTCTGTTGCTCAGTCAAATCCCCTTATTTCCAGTCGGTGTGACAAGTATAATTTGTACAATCCGGACAACTGAATTTTTTCGACCCTGTGTTCAATGAGTTTCCTTTCAATCGATAGATTTTTCTTTTCTCTTCTTGTTGAGTTTATTGGAAAGTGTGGCCACCATCTGCCTGCCCGGTGGTTACGTTTCCCTGTCGTTAAGTGAATAGAATAGAAAATGGAAATAGGAAAATCCACTGAGGGAACAATTTTTTTAAATGAAGGATTAAGGGAAATTTTTCATTCGTGATTTATTTCTGGTTTTCGTCGTAAAAACTCGTCAAGATAATTCGAGAATATCTATACGGGGAAGAAATAAATGGGAAATTATAAGGAAAGTGAAGTAAAAATTACTGAGTGGTGTGCTGCACGTAGAGAAAAATTTGGAGAGAAATGATCAGACAAGTCAAGTAATCGTGAAGCGGAATTTATTTGTAATGAATTTTTCATTTTAATGCCACCAAAAATTTTCCCATGAATTTAAATAATTGTTCTGTATTGCGGTTATTCACATAATTATTTTATATAATTTTTTAAATCAAACACCGCATATTAAAATTTCCCTTCCGTCCGCCCTCATATCCCTCACATCGGAGGCAGAAAAAAAATCCGAAAATTTCAGCAAAATTAATTTCGAGTGAAAAAAAATTTCCTCGGCACCTCCGGAACTATTACACCAAACATATTCATTCTTTTCAACTCCGTTTCAATAAAAAAAAATGTTGCTCGAATTAACACCGATATCCACCATTTTAAGAACAATATCCTTCATTTGAAAATGTTCTCATCGTGTGCAACGAAACAGCGCAAAAATCGAGAAAACAATTTTTTTAATTTCAAACCGTAAAATGTAAAATATTAAGAATATGGGAAATACCCGCGCGATACAGTAATTAGTGTGGTTGGTGTGTGTTTGTGAATACGGTGCAAAATCATTCACTAGTTTGAGTCTCCCTGTACATATTGTATTCTCGTTTTAAACATGACTTTCATAAAAATCTACGAAATCCTTTGTTAAAGTTAAAAAATAAATCCCCCGTCTAATATTTGCATGGCTATTGTCTCCCCTCCACACCGCTTGGTCTTGGTTTCATAGATACACAATGTCAACTCCATTGTTGATAATACCGTATGTTAAATCACCTCTGTGTAAATTTAATGTTGTCGTACGTAGAAAATCCTAATACATGAATCGTCCAAATGTGTATATCCATCCATTAATTGATGTTAATTTAATAATTGTGTGTTTTGAATACTCATGTACGAAACGACGAGCCCCTTTTACGTACTTTCGCGCCTCGTGATGAACCCACACCTGTCCCAACTTTTGGCGCTCTCACAAACAAGGACGCGTTGATGTATTCCCGTGGGTGTCTGTGTCTGTGTGTGTGTGTGTGCATTAAGTACAAATATGGAGATATAACACTAATTACAGTGTTTGTTCATAATTTGTCACTGGGGGCATTCAGTTATTGCGTCACATGATTGGAAGGGGGGAAGGGGTGGCTTAACTCATGACACAATTTTTTTTTTCATTTTTAATCGACGAAATTGCAAATGGAATTTCGATTTCGTCCCTTTTTTTCACGAAAAAAATTAAACTTTCATCAGTTTTTTTAACTGTCTTAAAGATTCACAGAGGGTCAGTTCGGAAGGTTGTTATGGCAACAATTTAATAATTTTGCGAAATTTAATTGTTGATCTAATCATTTGGCTTATTTGCTTATTCTCATTTTTCAATCTCGATTTTATGAAAGAACTACAAAAATACTTTTAATAGAATTAATATCATTAAAATTATAATATAACTATTATATAATATAATTATTGTAATATAATAATATAAATATAATTAATTAATTTGAATTAATTTTTCTATTTTTAATGGATGAAATTGTAAGTGCAATTTTGTCTTCGTCCCTTTTTCTCACGGATAAAAATAGTTTTCACGATTTCTTTAAACTATCTCAAAGATTCATAAAGGGTCATTTCGGAAGGCTATGATAGCAATAATTTAATAATTTTGCGACAGATTCAAAGAAAATCGCGTAAAAGTTTAATTGTTGGCCCAATCATTTGTCTTGTTTTCTTGTTCTCATTTTTCAATCTCGACTTTATGAAAGAACTAAACAAATACTTTTAATAAAATTAATGTAATTAAAATTATAATATAATAATTATTATATTATTATTAAAATTAATTTTAAATAAATCAATATTTGTTCCATTTTTAATCAACGAAATTGCAAACGCAATTTTGTTCTCATCCCTTTTTTCACGAATAAAAAAGTTTTCACGAGCTCTCCAAACCATCCCAACGATTCACCAAGGGTCATTTCAGAATGCTGAGGTGGTAACAATTTAATAAGTTACGAAATGTTCAAAAAAAATCGCGTAAAAATTCAATTGTTGACCTGTTCATTTATTTTCTTTTTCTTATTCTTATTTTTCAATTTCAATTTCATGAAAGAATTAAAAAATTCGCCACAATGGGGAGGGAGCAGATGTATTTTGTGACCAAGGGGATTAAAAGTCTAAAAAACGTGTGACGTAATATTCGAATGGCCACTAGTGGTTCTTTGTAACTGTCCATGCACATGTGTAGACTACATATTTGTGTTTAGATTGATATTCTCTAGTCGGATTTGTTTCCGTATTATTTGTTGATACTATTTGTTGAATCCCACTGCATTTCATATGTGGCTGAAGATTTTGCACCGACCCACATACCACCGGCCAGTTATCTCCGATTCATATCCCTTCATTTAATTATTCATCACGCTCAGCTGCGAATATCAACAGGCTAAGAGTGTGTGATTTTTTACTCTGTGAATGCTGTTAGATTGTGTGTGCACTTTTTCAATTTATGTGAGAAAAGTTCTACACTGTTGAGAAAAAATTGAAATTTTAAGGAGAGTTTAGTAGGAATTTTCAGGAGAGCGATTTTGAATTCGATTCCACGAATGAAAAAATTTAATTAAAAAGATTTAACGCTTTCTCTCAGACATTACTCTAAAGAATTTTATTAGAACTTTATTAAAATTATATTTGAAAAATCCATTTGTTTTATAGGAGTCAATGGGCTTTGATTTTTCTATAGAAATTCTTGGACGTAAATTTTCCAAGTTTTTTCGCTGTACAGTAGAGGCTTCGTATGAGATACCTTAGGGACAGTAGGAGAGCAAAATTCCGGAAACCCCCATGCCCCCACTACGCGCTCCCATAGAGAGGAGAGAAATAGGGATCAGCGGGTTTCAAATAAGATACCTCACTCGTTGCGCCCGAATTCAATGAAATTTTCATTTTTACTGAATGAATATCGATAACTAATCAATTTATATTTATTTTTTATTTATTATTTGCCATGTATACCTTACTCGGGTTTTTACAAGTTTCCTAATTTGCGGTTATCATGCACGGAGAGAAATTTTTGATAAAAATTATCCTACCGTTCTGTAAAAGTGTATCATGAGTCATCGTTTCTTCATTTCTATCCCGAAATTTAGTAAAAACTGATACATGATGATCAAATTTTATTCTACGTTAGAGAAATTTTATCCTGATAAAAATAAAAATTACCGTGCCGGTAGAGTAAAAATTACTGGACTGGAGGGGTAAAATTTATTATGCGTCAGGATAAAATTTTTCTAACGTAGAATAAAATTTGATCATCATATATTAATTTTTACTAAATTTCGGGATAGAAATGAGGAAACGATGACTCATGATACACTTTTATAGAACGGTAGGGTAATTTTTATCGAAAATTTCTCTCCGTGTGGGGCGACTTCCTCTCCAACCGTGTCGCATTGTCCCCCAGGAGCTGTACGCCGTACACAGACTCTCCTGGTGACCAAGGGAAACCATGGAAAACCTTGGTCGACACGGACCTACATCGACCGAGCATCATCGAGGAATGTTTTTCTAGCATTTCTCCAATCTAATCAATTTATATGTGTTTAATGTTTTGAATTTTTATCGCCTGCGTTCTCTTTTCTCTCTAAATATAACCCCGCGTGGTAGAATGGCAGCTGATATTGCGGGATTGTTGGTGGACTCGAGAATAATCGCAGACGAAAAATTACGATTTTTCGATGGGAAAAGTAAAAAAAAATCGATGTATATTTCCATTACTTGAAAAAAGTGGTGTGACCCCCCCCCC